CACACACACACACACACACACACACACACACACACACACACACACACCGCCCTGTAGCGACGTCCCTGCTTTCCGGCCAAGAATGTTGGATTGCTTCAAACAGGCCGTCATGATCAATAAATAAGCTCCAGTTTATACTTGAGAATCTGATAAATTTATAATAAGTCATCTGCATGTGTTCTCAAAAAAATAGCTCAAAGCCTTTTAAGGTACATACACTAAAGCCCTTTTTCATTACGAAAGATCGACGCTGCAATTAATAAAATGCGTGAATGTTAATTGAACTTGTATACATATCTTGCATTCAAATCAGAAGCAGCAGGGATTACAATTACTTATTGTATGATCGAAGAGTAAATATCCAAACTGCACTTTTTTCAAGTAATAACTAACTGCTAGTATAGTATGCAATAATTCTACTTTACACAACATGTTTCTGTTTCGAGATAGTTGAGCATTGAAGGCATTCGAGTTTAGAAAGTTAATTAAATTAGAGAGCGGGTTTAGGTAGGGCCATTTTGTTTTAATCAATGTTTGTATGTTTATTCTCGCAACTACCGCGTCACGCGCGCGTTATTTCGCAGTAGACCATGCAGTAGATACTCTATATATATATATATCGCACGAAAAAAGAAAACGCATAATCAAATAGTGGTGCCGGTACCCAAGCAACAGTCACGATTTTCATTAAAACTGAAGATTATCCATCAATATGATCCCAGGATCATGAAGTAAACTAGTAAAGCACAAACAACGTTTTACAACTCTCCTGCCCTCGTTACGTAATATATTAATAATAATAATAATAATAACAGTCTTTATTCATACTCAAGAACACCCGTCTGTGAGTTTACATTATAAAAATATATAAGATAAAATTATTGATATCTATAAGGTACTAACTAGATATATACAGTTATGCATAAAAATATTAATAATGTTAAAAAGGTAAAGGTTAAAATTGGTTAAACAAAGTTAAACAAACATCGATTTACAAAAGAACTTTTAAATCGCTCTGTTCTCACTAATGGAAGTTCAAACTCGTGTCCCCTTGGCCTAAGGTGTCTATTTAATTTATCTGGTAAAAGCTCCTGTAGTGCATTATCTTTATTATGTATTACTTTATCCCAAAGTTTCTTGTCCCTTTTGATGCTTATCTCCTTAATATTCAATTTTTCCGATATGTAACCATTTCTGTGAGCGCGATTGATGAATTTGACTAATGTATTTATTGAAGTATGCGCCTCCCCAAAGTTCTATGCCGTAAGTGATTATAGGCATAATTAAAGTGTTTTATTAAAGGCATAATTAAAGTGTATTATTCTTCCAGAAGAAAATTAGGCAATTAAATGTTGCATTAGTCGTAACAAGACTGCCTTCCCAGAGATTGAATGATGTATACACATCTTCACTGAAATTCGTAAACAATGAGGATACTGATAATCCAGTGAAAATAAATGTTGGTAAAGAAAATAGAAATAGACTTCCCACAGGCACAGCCAGTATACATGTTGATGTGTTCTTTATTTTGTTTCTCAACACACGATTGTTGGACGCGCAAGCAGGAACTATCTCGTTTCGTTTTATTGTTTTAGCTATCTTTAATATCTTATAATTCATAAGCAACATTAAAACCAAGAGTAATGCAAACGAAAGTAGAATCAAAATGGAGATATAGGTTTCATTTTCTTGCACAAAACCCAAACTAATCAACAGAACAAAAAGTAACTGAGTTAGTAAAACAGCAGTTAATATTTTGAGCTTCGTCACAGATCTCGCGTGAAAAAAGGGAAACGTCAAAGCAAGGTAACGCTCCACATTCATCCATAATAATGCAATGGCTGAATTTGAATATAAAACTAAACGAATGTAAGGAAAAATCTGCGTATCGAAGAGTGTGTTTGGTCCTCCCCGATGCCACATGACAGTATGAATTGTGAGCAGCGGATGACTGATACTTGACATAGCAAGGTCGCAGCAAGCAAGAACAAGAACCATGAAGTAACATGTTTTCTTTCGAAGTTGAGGAGACGTCCAAAAACTGACGATAACCATAGAATTAACAAGTATTCCAAAAAATGTGAACAAAGTATTTACAATGTATAAGAAAACCACTTGGATTGTTATATACAGATTCATCTGGTATACACTATCACTGAATTTCTCCAAACGGCCGAAGTATTACATTATACATACATATATTACATGCATGTAGTCTGCTATATTGTACTTTCCTTAGATATATTTGTATATCTTTATCAGCAGAAAAATAGGTTTTAATACAGATTTTGTACTAAAACCACTAATTCTGTTTTGTGATTGGCGCGGTTAAATCAAAGAATCCTCCCGTTGAACCAGAGCCTTCACGACGTTTCAATTTATTATTTACTGAAGGCTCTGGAATCCAGGGTATACAGGTCTAAGTTGGTGTCGTAGTATTTTCCTTCGTGTCAAAGTCACATATAGTTTCACTCTGGTACTCGGGAACAAAGAAATACGCCACGTTTGGTACGATATGGTTGAAATGGAGAACAGGCTTTACCCTTAGTTGTTGAACAGTGTACCACGAGCCCCACAGTTACAGTACATTTCGTTGCGTTACAGCATTAAATAAATAATTCTATTCTATTCTATTAGATGACTGAAAAAGAAGCACCGCCAAAGTTCACAAATGGCTATCAATTTGAAATGGAAGACAACATTGATGATGAGAGCCATATTGCACCAATGGCTTGGACAGTTATCATAGGAGATACAATACATAACATTGCAGATGGGATCGCTATTGGTGTGGCATTTAGTGACAGCATTTTGGGTGGAGTTAGTACTTCTATTGCTGTCTTGTGTCACGAAGTACCACATGAGCTTGGTACGTATACGGTGGAAAGTAAAAAATGGAGATTAAGACAGTATAGATTAAAGAACAAGGGAGAGGTTTATATTTAACTGTGAAGACCGAAGGCCAGGATAGTTGAAAGAAAATGGATAAGAGCAGACGTGATCTATTCGAAATTCGTGATGTCACGAATTTTCCTATATTTTTCGCATTCAAGTAACTAAAGTATATTGAGATTCAAAATGGTTTCATTATTATTCAACGGAAAATTTATGTTTTTTGTCTTTGTTTAAGGTTTTATACTTTTGTAATCAAGAAACTGGCATGAAAAAAACTAGTAATTGAAATTTGTGACGCGTATTTTACTGTCTAATATGTGATATTATTATGTTCCCTAAAAATGATCAACAATATTTAGATACTCCATCGTAGAGTGGCATGGCTGTCTAAAAAATCTTGAGCTGTATTATTACTAAACGTGGAATTATTTGGGATTTAGTGACGTCATAATTTTCAACAAGTCTGCAGAGAGGCCATGAAGACATCATGGAAAACACCATGAGTGAGCGTGTGTTTCCACATGAGTGAGCGTGTGTTTCCACATGAGTGAGCGTGTGTTTCCTATCCAGTATTTTTATGATCCATGGTTACAGTTGAATAAAAATCGATAGCCGTGGTCTTTTAACTTGTTTATATGCTCGGTAGACCATTTTGTTTTGTTTTTAGGAGGTTTTCCATTATGTCTACACGATTTAATTTGTCGATTTGTTAAACGAAATTGACTTACGGCTCGTGAGATCATACCTATATTCAGGTCAAGGTGCGCAGTTCATCTTTTTTTCGTACAAATTATTGATTCACTGCTTGTGGAAACCGAACTTGCTCAACTGAGGACGCGCATGCAGTACAACTAGTATGCTTCGTTATTTTCACTCATAAAGATCCTTACGGATCAAAAGCAATTCTGAAATATAAAGTAAACGTGGTGTTTCCCCCAATACCAAAACAATTGAGCACGCATTACTAAAATTTCAAATTTTCTACCTTCTAACCAGGTGATTTTGTTGTACTATTGTCTGCTGGAATGAGTGTACGACAAGCAGTGATTGCGAACTTTGTCTCATCATGTTTTTGCTTTATGGGACTTGTGTTCGGAAAGTTGATTGGTGAGATTGAAGATGTGAATGTGTGGATTCTTGGAGTGACCGGCGGATTTTTCCTTTATATTGCACTGACAAACAAGGTCAGTAAACTGTTACTTAGATATACAGCCAAACGTACGTTTTTAATATAAACTATAACGCTAATTTTTGTAAGCACCGGAGTGCAACTTATTCTGTTGGCGTGCTATTCTTCTCCGCAAGCAACTCGTGTCAAACGGCAAAAGAACGTCGGGTAATATTCTCATGTTTCGTGCACAAACGTTCTGTTTGATTTTTAGCGCCAATCACGATTACCCTATAAAAGCTAACGGTCTGTGCCAGTGCAGGTACAACCTCGTTCCCAGGCTCTCTGGAAACGAGGTTGTTGTACGTAATGCTAATAACAAGAAAGCGTCGACGTTTCGAGCGAAGGCCCTTCGTTGACTAACTTCGCTCGGGCACTCGCTCGAAACGTCGAGGTTGTCCAGATTATTAGGGTAGTTGCATCCCTATTAATCCCAAGCCTTCCCATAAATGCTAACCCTATTAATTGTGCACGAAACACAAGGATATAACCGAATAAACGATGGATGGTAACAGGAGATTGCGAGGGATAATTGTTGAAAGTACCTCGATCTCCTCCCATGAAATCTAGCTCCCAATCTTTTGATGTGCTCTGCTAATTTTTATACAGGGTATCCTGAAAAAACTGCAATAGCAATTTTCCAGAATTTTACACAGCTAGCTATTAGTGAACATAGAAAATTAATGAATTTTGACACTTAGATTATTAAAATTGGTTTGGAAGAATGTTATGGCTGTTTAAAGTAAGGGTTCATCAAACCTACTGATACTTTACACAACTCATGCATGATTTCAAAGGTCCATTTGGGTGAACAGACTTTATTTAAAAACAGCCATAACATTGGTTCAACAAGACCAATTTAACAATCTTAGTGCCAAAATTCATCTCCTACATTAAATTTCCGATGTCCACTAATAATTAACTGTGCAAAACCTAGACAATTACCTATTGCATTTTCCCGGAACACCCTGTATATAGTAAGTACATATAGAGTTGCTGCTGGTACTAAAGAGTGGGTTTCTAAACTGTTTCTAAACGTTTATGAGATAAAAAATACGTGGTATTGCTCGTGCCCACAAGCACAGTAGTCCTTTAAAGAGCCAAAGGCCCGTGCACTATAATTTATTAATACAAAATATTAAATTATGTAGTTGCCTGAACTGATGCACGTCACAGGACAGAGTGACCAGTCGAAGATCACATTATTCCTTCTCCAGAATATCGGTGTTATTCTTGGCTTTGCTGGCATGTTCTTTTTGGCATATTACAAGAAAGACATCAATATTTAGCAGGACGCTTTGTGTGTGAACGAGTTTGCTTTGTTTATGAAAGAATAAGTTTGACTGTGTTCATTTTTACTGGATCACCAAATGAATGATTTTGAATAATTTTAACCCCTTGCCCAATTTAATTAATATTATAAAATTTATAAATTAAAATATGTAAAGCTTTGTTAATTCATAATTATTGGCTAATCACAATATAGTTCCCAGTTCTTTTTATGGATATATACGAGAACACTTTCGCATTTTTTGTAAAAATATGAATATTGGGGTATTTTAGGGTCTTAGGTGGAATTTGTGCCTCCAGTGGCGGAAATTTACTTTTTCCGGTGTCGGGGGGGGGGGGGGGGGGGGGGGGGAAAGCCCCCCTAA